GTCACCCAGGCTGTAGTGTAGTGTTGTGAACATGGCTCACTGCAGCCTTGACCTCCCAGGCCCAAGTGATACTCTTGCCTCAGCTTCCCAACTGGCTGAGACTGCATGTGCACATCACCATTCTCAGTTAATTAAAAATTTTTTTTGCAAAGACAGGGTTTCTCTATGTTTCCCAGGCTGATCTTGAACTCCTGGGCTCAAGGGATCCTCCTGCCTCAGCCTCCCAAAGTGCTGGGATCATAGGTGTGAGCCACTGTGCCTGGTCCAGAGTCTATATACATTATTTTATAGTCTGTATATTATCTGATTTCTTGGATGAATACTTGTGTGGTTTGTGCTGAAATAGTGTATTTTCTGTTTTAAAATTTGGGGCTGTAAGCTCATCCTGAGTGTGACTTTATCTGTGGGAATTCCATAAAACTTTGGTGGAGAATGGATCACTCCAAAGATTGGCATTTATCCCCTAAACCAGTGACAACTGTGACTAGGAGCCAGTTTGTGCCTACGAGCCAAGGACAACTGTTTGTTTTACTTTCTCAGTTTGGGGGAATCCCAGACCTCTACAGAAAGAGGTGATGTTTGAAATTTTTCATCACTGGTATGCATTCTGCAGGGGCTGTGCTCCCACAAACAGTCTGGGAGACTCTCCAAGAGTACCTGCTGGCAGGTGGCAGTAGCCTCAGGCAGCAATGTGGACACCGGGGTCGGGGTGGTGGGGGATGTGATTTATTGTGGCAAAAGGTACAAAGAAAAATCAGCAAAGGGAAAAGACTGCTGGGGTGAGGTTCTGGGGGAACTAGGCAGGTGCTTCCAAGAGTCCTCTCTAGTGGAGTCACACAGGATGTGTTTAATTCCTTTAGCAATTAGTTGTGACATGTTTTTTCTCTGTGTGTCTCATTCAACAATCATAACTTTATTATTTTTTTGTTTTTAGTAATCTCTTATTCTCACTCAGACCTTTCATCTGGAATGGTTGTTTGCAAGAGGGACAAAAGCATTTTTACAGAAAAATATTTTAATACAATGTAACCAGAATAACACATCATATTCTGGAATTGGTCAGGACAAAATCCTGAATTTTTGAAAATTTTCAAAATGGTAGGTCGGGTGTGGTGGCTCATGTCTGTAATTCCAACATTTTTGGAGGCTGAGGCAAGAGGATTACTTGAATTCAGGAGTTTGAGACCAGCCTGGGCAATACAATAAGACTTTATCACCACAAAAAATAAAAAAGCCAGGTGTGGTGGTGCACACCTGTAGTCCCAGCTACTCTGGAGGCTGAAGTGGGAGGATCCCTTGAGCTCAGGAGGTCGTGGCTGCAGTGAGCCATGTTCACACCACTGCATTCCAGCCTGGGTGACAGAGCAAGGCCCTGTCTCAAAAAAAAAAAAAAAAAAATTCAAAGTAAACTTAAATAATCTCTATTTTTTGTCCTGATCATTCATTCATTGAGCAGCCTAGAAAAGGTCAGTTCCTTCCTGGGGAAAGCTGCATTTAATACTCAAACTGCCTTACCAGGAGGAAGGAGAAGGAAATTGTATTAGTTTATTTTCTGTTGCTTATAAAAGAATACCTGAAACTCAGGTAATTTATAAAGAAAAGAAATTCATTTCTCCGCCAGTTACGGAGGCTGAGACTCCAAGGTCGAGGAACTGCATCTGGTGAGGGCCTTCTTGCTATCTTGGACTTCCTGTGGAGTCCCAAGGTGGTGCCGGGCGTCACATGGTGAGGAGCTGAGCGTGATAGCTCAGGTATCTCTTCCTCTTCTTCTAAAGTCAACAAGGTCCTCTTAAGTGCGTTTTTTCTTGTCATTTTAAGAGTCCCACTTGACCCACTCAAAAATATACATACAGGCTGGAAAATCATAAGCTTCTAAGGCTGACAATTTCACAAGAGCTCATTAGCAACTAATGCTAATTTTAGTTTAAAAGCAACTTTGCTTTTTAAAACTCCAAAAGTATATCTCCATCTGGAGATTGCCTGTCTTTTATGTTGTCTCCTTTTTTCCAGAGGCTTCATGGCAAAAGTTATAGCAAAAATTATCCATTGCAGAGACTTTTGTTTTTTAATACTCAAAGAATTTAAATTCCAACCCACACACTGGTGGCAAAAAACAAGGATATTGTATTCCACTGACAGTTTTTCTTTGCAGGTTTCTCTGGTCATCTTGCATTTATGACACTGAAAGCATTAAACTGCTATATCAGTTTTCACCATCCATCCAAGTGCAGTAACTACCAAAAAAAATACAAAGCCTTTTTTTAAAATTTTTTTAGAGCTGGGGTCTCACTTTGTTGCCCAGGCTGGAGTGTTGTGGCTATTCACAGCTGCAATCATAGCTCACTGCAGCCTCGAACTCCTGGGCTCAAGTGATTCTCCCACCTCAGTCTCCCAAGTAACCGGGATTACAAGTATGTGACTCCAAAGGCATTTTTTAAAAGACAGCCCCAATGTGGCTTCCTGTAGTTCCAGGATGCCCCCAGCCTCCCAGATCTACCTTTAAGCAGTGCTCAGGTCACAGAGCAGTGCCCAGAAGAGGGTGAGGGAGGAGGCTCCAGTACTGCACATCTGTTACGTGCTGTATGTTGGTTTCTTAGGGCATTCATAACAAATGACCACAAATGGGGTTGCCTAAAACAACAGCAATTTATTATTCTCTAGTTCTGGAAGATAGACATCCAAAATGAAAATGTCAGCAGGGTCCTGCTCCTGCAGAAGCCTCTAGTGGAGAATCTTTCCTTGTCTTTCCTGGTTTCTGGTGGCTCCAGGTGTTCTGTGGCTTGCAGCTGTATCACTCCAGTCTCTGCCTCCATCTTCACATGACCCTCCCCTTGCCTCTCCATGTCTCTTATAAGGACACTTGTTATTGGATTTAGGGCCTACCTGGATAATCCGGGATAATATAATGACAAGATCCTTAATCACACCTGAAAGTCTCCTATTTCTATAAGGTCACATTCACAGGCTCCAGGTGGAGATATCTTCTGTGTGACCACCATTCAAGCCACTATATGCCCATCTGCCTAACATTAATGATGGCCTGCGATTTATTAAGTGCCTACTGTGTGCCAGGCACTCAATGTGCACATTAGCCACCGAGGGAGGGACTGTGTTTACCATTCTAGGGAGATAAGGTCTTAAGAAGCTTCCACAGAGATGACGGCATTTAGGATTTGGATTTCTTAACTGCTCTTTCGTGCTTCCTGGTACCAAAACCTATACCTTTACGCCTTGGGAACCCAGGTCACCCACCTGCCCAGTCCATGGGGGAGCAGGAATAAATCAGAACATGGGAGGGACTGTTAAAGCCCTTTTCCAGCTGTGATTGCTTTGCGGTTGGCTCTGGGCCCCACAGCAGGAGCTCTGCTGTCCAGGGAAATGAAGAAGCCTTTCAGGACGGCAGCTCCTGACAGCATGCTATGGTTTGAATATGTCTCCCAAAAAAATTCAGGGGTTGCCAATGTGGTGGTTCTAAGAGGTGGGGCCTTTAAGAGGTGATTAGGTGATGAGGGCTCCTTCCCTGTGAATAAGATGAGGTGCCCCTATAAAGGGACCTGAAGGAGGGAGTTGGTCCTCTCTCGCCCTCTGCCTTCTGCTATGTTACAACGCAGCAAGAGGCCCTCACCAGATGCTGGTGCCTTGATCTTGGACTTCCCAGCCTCCAGAACTGTGAGAAATAAATTTCTATTCTTTCTAAATGACCCAGTCTCAGGTATTCCATCACAGCAGCACAAATGGGCTAAGATGCTCCAGCTAGCCATGGGCCCACCCCAAGGTTTCAGCCCAAGAAGGGGAGGCATCTGGGAAGGTAGGTCTGTCTGCCAGGTGGGCCTCCCTGCTGGAGGGAGCAGATTCCCAGGTCCCGGGAACAGTGCAGCAGTGCAGAGGGAAGGCCACTTGCTGGGGGCTTGCCTTCCTGGAGAACACTTGTCCAGGCCCCAATCCCAAAGCCACTCCAGCAAGAATGAGCTGTGCTGTCTACAAACACATCACTGGCCACATCCCCAAGGTCGCCCTCTGATGTGGGCGTGACCACTCCACCTATTTTGTAGTCACGAAAGTCCGCGTTTCCACGGCTGTCCTCCATGATCTCTGCAGAGGATGGGTTTCCTCTGTGGGTGAGCCCTCAGGAGCAGGGGAAGGTCCCTGCATCTCACCTCACTTTACCTCACAGGCCACAGTGGGGCTTCCTAATCTAGGGGTTCTCAATATGTGCCTCCCTGGGCCAGCAGCATTAGCATCATCAAGGAAGCTGCTGGAGTGGAGTGGCAGATTCTCAGCCACACCCCAGATGTGCTGAATCAGAAACTCAGGGTGGGCCCGGCAGTCTGTGTTTTACCATGCCCTCTGCACACTGGAATTGCCTGGAAAGCTTTGAAAACACAGAGGCTCAGCCCCACTCAGATCAATTGTATCAGAATCGCTGGGGGAGAACATAAGTAGTTTTACAACCCCCAGGTGGTTTCAGGGTGCAGCCAAAGCACATTTCCCTTCATGACTCATGAGCCTGGGAATAGTTTGAATTTTAAATAAAGGGAAGGGGTTTGGGTCCCAAGCTGAGGTAATACAAATGTCATTATAACAGACACATGGTAAGAAATACATGTGTTACAGAAAAGAGTGTATGTGGAGATTATTTCTTTTACTGAATGTACTTTTCACTTGAGCATTGAAGAAGAAAATCCCCTTTCTTTTTTTTTTTTTTTTTTTGGAGAGGGTGCGGGGGGACGGAGTCTCACTCTATCACCCAGTCTGGAGTGCAGTGGTTCGATCTTGGCTCCTGATCTCAGGTGATGCGCCCCCCTCAGCCTCCCAAAGTGCTGGGATTACAGGCGTGAGCCACTGCACCTGGCCTTAAAAATCCCATTTATAGTGCAAGTAGTCTTGGCCTCAGATCATGGGAGCTCCTTGGTGCTTCTTCCTCGATTTGGATAAAAAGGCTTCACCCCAGCCACTTTGAACCCCACCCTTCTCTTCAGGATGTGAACTCTCACGTCGGGATGGTGTCCGACTGGAAGCTGATGGGAGTCTGGGCTGAACAGGAAGGGGAGCAAGCCCAGGGCTCATCTGTTCCCTCCTCAGTTTGCCTGCTCCCCTCTTTCCCTTCAGCTTTTGTGTTGATTAACGGAGAACACCCTGGCGCTAGCTTTGTTCCTGAGGCCATGTCTACAGAGAGGGGGAGTTGGGGTGGGAGCCTTGCCTAACAGCCACTCACAGACTCACCCTGTCTGAGTCTCAGTTTCCTCACTTGTAAGATGGGCATGCAGCTACCTATTTTGCAGGGTTACATGACTGAGCACTTTAGTCCACTGCTCTCGGCTCATCCCCATGTAATCCCACAAGGTAGGTACATGCACATCCATCTTATAGGTGAGGAAACTGAGTCTCAGACAGATTCATAGCCAGCCACAGGTGGAGCAGGGATGCCCGACTCTAAAACCCAGCTCTACCTCAATGCACTGTCAGATTTTGAACCGCGAAAGAGGTGATCAAGGAATAAACATTCTCTGTGCTCTCTTTCCCCACGTGCTGTGTGCTGACAGAGCTGAAAGTTCTCCTCGTTGACTTCTTGAAGCAGGAGAATGCCGTTTCTCACCACACGGGGGAGTTCCAAACGAGCAATCCTGTGTTCCGGCGAGGGCAGGTGTTTCACCTGCGGTTGGTGCTGAACCAGCCCCTACAATCCTACCACGAACTGAAACTGGAATTCAGCACAGGTGAAGCCTTGGGGCCCTGCTCATGGGGCTTGGGGGAAGGACCATGAGGGTCCCTGGATGCTGGAGTGGCCCTTTCTAGTCAGTCTGAGCCAGGAGTGCCTTCCCCTCTCTGATCCCCAGTTTCTCCATCTGTAAAGTGGGAATAATAGCAGGTATGATGAGAATAGAATGAGAAGCTCAGTCAGGACCTCACACATAGTGAGGCTCTGATTCCTTGGCTAAGCAGGGGAAGGGGCTGGAGCAGAGAGAGGAGGCGACTCAGCGGGAATCTGCCGCAGTGGGGTCTGGAACATTTTGTAGAGATGAATCATAGGACTGAGATGTGCTGATGCCATAACTGGGTGGGCTGGAGGTAAGCCAGTAATAATGATTAAAATATCATAGTTTGGTTGCAAAGATAATAGGAAATGGCTCACGCATTTGTTATAGTTAGGTAAATATATGTGCATAAGTACAACTAGGGGAACAGAGAAAATGTATTAGATTTTGTGACAGGTGGTGGGATAATGGAGGGGAGGTCTTCTTTAATGCTGTTTTTAAGCTTTTTTTTTTGTTTGAATAGCTCAGTAGCTCAGTCTTTACTTTTGTTTTGTTTTTGTTTTTGTTTTTGTTTTTGTTTTTGTTTTTTTTGAGACGGAGTCTCGCTCTGTCGCCCAGGCTGGAGTGCAGTGGCCTGATCTCAGCTCACTGCAAGCTCCGCCTCCCGGGTTCATGCCATTCTCCTGCCTCAGCCTCCCGAGTAGCTGGGACCACAGGCGCCCGCCAGCTCGCCCGGCTAGTTTTTTGTATTTTTTAGTAGAGACGGGGTTTCACTGTGTTAGCCAGGATGGTCTCGATCTCCTGACCTTGTGATCCGCCCGTCTCGGCCTCCCAAAGTGCTGGGATTACAGGCTTGAGCCACCGCGCCCGGCCTGTTTTTGTTTTTTATTATACTTTAGGTTCTAGGGTACATGTGCACAATGTGCAGGTTTGTTACGTATGTATACATGTGCCATGATGGTGTGCTGCACCCATTAACTCATCATTTACCTAATGTTTTTAAGTTATAAAAATAGATCAAGTAAGACAGGCATGGCAGCTAATGCCTGTAATCCTAGTATTTTGGGAGGCCAAGGTGGGCAGATCACCTGAGATCAGGAGTTCGAGACCAGCCTGGCCAACATGGTGAAACCCCGTCTCTGCTAAAAATACAAAAATTAGCTGGGCATAGTGGCAGGTGCCTGTAATTCCAGCTATTCAGGAGGCTGAGGTAGGATAATTGCTTGAACCTGGGAGGCGGAGGTTGCAGGGAGGTGAGATAGTGTCATTGCACTTCATCCTGGCGACAAGAGTGAAACTCCATCTCAAAAAAAATTAGATCAAGTAGATCTACTTTACAAGATGGCATACAATAGCACTTCCTGGGAGAGCGCTCCTTTTGCTCCTTCTCTGAGTGAACAACAGGCTTAGGGTCTCCTCCAACGTGCTAGTGGGGATCAGTCAGAACAGCCGCCATTCCCTTCATCCAAGATGAAATAAGCACCTACTGTGTGCCGTGCCATGAGCTACCTGCTCAACGTGTGGACTGGGACCGTGCTGTCGCTGACTTTGTGACTTTATAGTATCCTGGGTCCATGTGCATTCCCTCACCCAAAATTTCCTGAGCACTTGCCACATGCCAGGTGTTGCACTGAGCACTCTCCATGTGTGGCGTAGTGCGACTCACTCAACAGGTTTTTGTTGAGTACCTACTTTGTGCCAGGGAACCCAGAGGTAAAGCGGTCCCTGCCTCCTAGACTTGACCATACTAGCAGAGAGAGCAGTAAACAAAACTGCAAGATAATTTCAGACAGGGCCAAATATGATGAAGAAACCAAAAACAAGAGGCTCCTCCAGCAAGACAGAAAGCAGCAGGTCAGGGCGGGGATGACTCTGTCGGGGTTGGAAGGGCTTCCCTGGGAAGTGAGCCTGCTGAGACCCATGTCCCACCGTGTGAGGAGCGGACAGCAGGGTGTTCCCAGCCATGAGCATGGGAAGTGCCAGGGCCCCGAGGAGGCAACACTTGTGTCACATGCTCTTTGTCACGAGCTAACTCTCTGGGGACCAGAAACCCAGTCATGACAGGGAGGAAAGTGGGGAGTTGGGGAGAAGCGTCACTGAGGGCCACCTGTGGGCTATGGAAAGAAGTTGGATTTGATTCTAGTAGTCCCTGGAGCTCATGACATAACCTGATCGACCTTTCAAAGAAGATCCTGCAACAGTATGCGGGGTAGGGGTGGTATCTGCCTCCTCCAGACGAGAAGAGTGAAGGTTAAACAGTTCCCCTGCATTACGCAGAGTGGACAAGCGTGTGGGTCTGTGGCATGAGCCGGCGGGGTTAAACAAATGGTAACTGGAGTGAGCACGTGACAGAGGCAGGAGCTCTAGGGAGACCTGGATCTGATGGGTAAAAAGGGAGAATGTGGAGAGGAGGCAGGAAGCTCATGTAAATTGAGCAGAAAACTAAAACTGGACATGTGGGGCAGAGGGAGGCCCCTGCAGAATTAGAGGGGCTGGAGCCAGGGGACAAATGAGCCTGGAAAGGAGGGGTGGGGGCTCCGTGAGTGGGCAGTAGGTGCGGCCGAACTAGGGGAGATTGTCTTGGGGGTGACCCACGGCTGGGCCAATGTTTTTTTTTCCTTCGGGTGTCTCCAGGGCCAAAGCCTAGCATCGCCAAACACACCCTGGTGGTGCTCGACCCGAGGACGCCCTCAGACCACCACAACTGGCAGGCAACCCTTCAAAATGAGTCTGGCAAAGAGGTGAGCACCCACCGGGCTGGCGGGCGGGCTGGCTGGCTTCTGGCGGATTCCTCCTAATGTGAGCAGCCCCTATCCCCTTCCTCACCTGTCAGCTGGCAATGTGGCTTAAAGCCATCCACAGCAGAGCATGAGAGAGGGGCCACGGCTCCAAACGTCTCTTTCCCCACTCAGCCTCCTCCAAGCACACAGTACCTCTGTGGCCAAACCTCCTACATGTCACCCTTCCCCTTTTCATTTCAAAGGGAACAGTATTCACTGGAGGACACGAGCAGAGAGAAGTACGTAAAAATAACCCATGGTTCCACCAATTAATTTACCCATCCTTCCTTCCAGGCTTTTTCTATGTCATGGTCAAATACAAAGTGGGAGTCCATCTCATGCTTCACTCATTTGACAAGACCTAATGGATGTTTTCCACAGTGGCTCCTGCCCGAGTGTGTGGCTTACGGTGGCTGGTTTTCCACGCTTTTGGGGAGCACTGGGTGTTCACAGTTGTCTCCAGTCTTCCTGTGTTGTAAAGAACCATCTCTCAGGCAGATCTTTGAACTAGCTTATGGATATTTGCTTAGGCTAAATCCCTGGAAGTTTAATGCTAGGCTAATGCCATGATTTTAAAATGGCAGTTACATTGGGTTTTTGTAGAAGCAGGATCTGCTGGTGGAAATGAGATGAATGGGCCAGTTGCTGCTGGAATCCTCCCTAGTGCCCCGGGCTCTTCCTTCTTCTCCCTCCCATCCAGATCCCAGACTCTCAACCCCAATTTTGCATTTGAGTGTTTTTCAGGGTATCATGAAAATCTCTCCCGAGGTGGGCATGGGGTGGAGGCAGGAGCTGCATTTCTTTACTCAAAAAGTGTTATTTTTAAAGTTTTGTTTTTTAAATTGACATATAACACACATAAAAGACACAAATCTTAATGGTTTGCACAATGAATTTTTACATATGCATACAGCTGTGGGACCACCAGCCAGATCAAGGTGGAGGCCATTTCCTGCACCCCAGAAGGCTGGTTCTCCTGGGTTCCATTGTAATGAACAGTGAGGGCACAACCTCCTCCCCCTTGCCACAACAGGGGTGTGGGGAGTTAGCCTTGTGGATTCTGAAGTTGTAGCATACTGAGTTTGATCCCAGCTCCACCTCTTGGGCAACCTCTGTGAACCTCAGTTTCCCCACCAGCAAAATAATGACAATTAAACATTTATATATATTAGCTCATTTAATTTTCACAATGCTCCCACAAAGAAGGGGGCCTGTTATCATTCCAAATTTTTAAACCAGAAAACTGAGGCACAGGAGAGGTTAAGTAACCAGCCAAGGTCATATAGCCAGTAAGAGGTAGAGCTGGCCAGCCTGGGCAACATAGGGCTACCCCATTTCTACTAAAAAAAAAAATTAGCCGGGAGTGGTGGCAGGCACCTGTAGTTCCAGCTAGTTGGGAGGCTTAGGTGGGAGAATCACTTGACCCCAGGAGTTCAATGCTGCAATGGCACTCAAGGCTACTTCTGCCATCACCAGCACCAGCTTCTCTCCAGAGGGTGCTGGACATCTTCTTGCCGCCTCAAATGTGGCACATTCTATGTCAACCCTTTTCCACACCTGCCCTTTCTCCTGGGGCCTTCCTGAAATCAAAAGCCATCAGGTGCCCATGCTAGAAGCCAATTGCACTCCAGCCTGGGTGACAGAGAAAGACTCTGTCTCACAAAAAAGCGGGGGAGAGTAGAGCTGGGATTTGAACTGAGAGCCTATTGCTCCTATGAGTTATAATAATAAGCATCTCATGGGAGGATCTTGAACCACAAATGGAAATGTTTTGTGACAAGGATGAGAATTATTATTCTTGGTACCATTGTGGCTACAGCAATATTGATGTATCCTAATTATCTCTCCAGCTATTATTTATCCTAAAAGACTGGATAGAGGCCTGGACGCCCTTGGACCAATGGCCCTCTGGGACTCTGGCTGCCTGTATTCCAAGAGAAATGTGTTTTTTTGGGTTTTTTTTGCTGCAAAAGACAGTTGACATTTAACCTTTCCCCGGAGTTCCAGGCACTGGGCTAGGCACATGTATTAGTCCATTCTTGTCCTACTCTACTACTCTAAAGAATACCCGAGACTGGGTAATTTATAAAGGAAAGAAGTTTAATTGATTCACAGTTCCACATGGCTGGGGAGTCCTCAGGAAACTTACAATCATGGCAGAAGGGGAAGCAGGCACATTTTACGTGGTAGCAGGTGAGAGAGAGTGAGAAAGAGCAGGGGAAACTGCCTTATAAAACCATCGGATCTCATGAGAACTCACTGACTATCACGAGAACAGCAGAGGGGAAACTGCCCCCATGATTCAATCACCTCCCCTCCCACCAGGTCCCTCACTCAACATGTGGGAATTATGGGGATTACAATTCAAGACGAGATTCGAGTGGAGACACAGAGCCAACCATGTCAGCACCTTAAGTGTGTTTTATCCACAGCATCTTCCCAACAACCTGGAGATAGTATCACCTCCAGGCTGTGGTGAAGGGAGTGGTGAAGGGAGTGAATCTCAGGGAGGTGAAAATGCCCAGTCTGTCTAGGGCTCTTGCAAGACGTGCCAAAACTTCATGCTGTATGAGGCTGCTTTTCTTTCTCATGCATCCTGCCCTTGCAGGTATGCTCCTGGCTGTCCAGGGTCCTGACCATTCCTTGTCTCCGGGCTGGTTCCAGATGGGATGAGTTGTTAGGACTGATGGATTCTTCTGGGAAGCATTTGTAGGATTTGGGATCTGGCCAGAGGGGGAGATGTCCACCTTATCTTGTGGTTTGCTCAGGTCACAGTGGCTGTCACCAGCACCCCCAATGCCATCCTGGGCAAGTACCAACTACATGTGAAAACTGGAAAACACATCCTTAAGTCTGAAGAAAACATCCTATACCTTCTCTGCAACCCATGGTGTAAAGGTACTGTGAATCTCAGGTCTGCTGGGGCGTGGCAGGTGCCCCTGGCAAAACCTGCTATGTGCAATGCATAGTCTATGAGCTTTTGTTTGCTCTCAAGGTACTTGTAAACTAATTAAAGGGATGTGACCCAGGAACAGATTGCGGACACCATTGGAGCGTTTTCTTTGTGACCAGGCCCCTTAGAATGGAGGTCCTTATTCCCCGTTTCCACTTCTCCCCAATGCCTTGCCCTGCCCCAGCTGGCTTCTGCCTTCACCACTGTACAGAGGCTGCCTTGGTGGGGGTGGGGAGGGGCCACCAAGGACTTCTTTCTTGCCAACTACAGGTCAGGACCTGAACTGTGGTTGGCTCCTCCCTTCTGCTCCCTTAGTTCTGTTCTCTTCTTTCCACTCCCACATGTACCCAGCTCATTTTTTCCTGTGGCTACACTGGAGCCTTTATGTAAATGGCACTCGAGGCTACTTCTGCCATTGCCAGCACTGGCTTCTCTCCAGAGGGTGCTGGACATCTTGTAGCCTCAAATGTGGCACATTCTATGTCAGCCCTTTCCATACCTGCCCTCCCTCCTGGGGCCTTTTTGAAATCAAAAGCCATCAGGCGCCCATGCTAGAAGCCAAGGAGCTCTTTTTTTAACCTTTGTATTTGGAAATGATTTTGATCTCACAGAAAAGTGGCAAAAATGATGTAATGAACAACCTATACCCTTTATCCAGGCTCACCTGTTGTTAATATTTTTCTCCATTTGCTTAATCATTTTCCCTCCCTCCCTCCTCTACACACACACATGCTTTTTATTTTTGAACCATTTGAGAGTAAGTTACATATAAGTTGGTTTTTTACAACCCCTAAACCCTTTGATGTGTATTCCATAAGAACAGGGCTGTTCTCTCATATAACCACGGTACAGTTATCAACTTCAGTAAATTAAGTGTTAGCAGCCAGGCATGGTGGCTCATGCCTGTAATCTCAGCACTTTGGGAGGCGAGGTGGGCAGATCACAAGGTCGGGAGATAGGCCGGGCGCGGTGGCTCACGCCTGTAATCCCAGCACTTTGGGAGGCCAAGGTGGGCGGATCACAGGGTCAGGAGATCAAGACCATCCTGGCTAACATGGTGAAACCCTGTTTCTACTAAAAACACAAAAAATTAGCTGGGCATGGTGGTGCGTGCCTGTAATCCCTGCTGCTTGGGAGGCTGAGGCAGGAGAATCACTTGAACCCAGGAGGTGGAGGTTATAGTGAGCCGAGATCGCGCCATTGCACTCCAGCCTGGGAGACAGAGCAAGACTCTGTCTCAAATAAATAAATAAATTATTTAAAAAAATAAGCATTAGCATAACACTTTCATCTACTATCTATATAACAGTTTGGTCACTTTAAAAAAAAAATTTTTTTTTTTTTGAGATGGAATTTCGCTCTCGTCGCCCAGGCTGGAGTGCAATGGCACGATCTTGGCTCACTGTAGCCTCTGCCTCCTGGGTTCAAGCAATTCTCCTGCCTCAGCCTCCCAAGTAGCTGGGATTACAGGCACGCGCCACTACACCCAGCTAATTTTTGTATTTTTAGTAAAGACGGGGTTTTGCCATGTTGGCCAGGCTGGTCTCAAACTCCTGACCTCAGGTGATCCACCCGCCTTGGCCTCCCAAAATGCTGGGATTATAGGCATGAGGCACCGTGCCCAGCCAGTCACTTGATTTTATCATGTTCTTTATAACATTGTTTTCTCTCCAGTACAAGATCCAGTCTAGAGTCACATTTTACATACAGTTATGTTTCTTTACCTCCTTTAATCTGGAACAATTTCTTAGTCTTTGTCTTTTTGACATATTTTTGAGGACTAGAAGTCCCCCTTTTTAACAGATCATTCGTCATTTGGGTCTGATGATTCATCATCTTTAGATTCAGGTTACGCAGTCCTTGCTGGATATTATGTAAACGATATGTCCTTCTTGGAAAATCATATCTGGAGGCACACAATGTCTGCGTGCCCCTCATTGGGAATGTTAAATGTGATCATTTGGTCAAGGTGTTGTCCAGTTTTTCTGCTATATAATTACTATCTTTTTCTTTGTAATGTGGACACATTAAAGACCGTCCAAACATCCTGATCCTTATCAAAATTCTCCACCCCTAGATTTAGCATCCACTGATGGTTCTTGCTTCAACCATTCTTCTCTGTGATGGTTGCACAGTGATTTTCCAAGGCCAGCTCTCTACCATGTTTACCTGCTAGCCCCTGGCATTTGCTGTAGGCAGAGCCCTCCCTTCACCCCCATCTACCTCTCTCTCTCTACCATCTGTATGGACTCATGGACTCTCTCTTACTTTTCAGTGGTTTATGATTCATCCTTTTCTTAACTCATGCTTAAATTGCTCCAGATTTTCCCAGGGGAAGCCCCCTACAGCTGGCTCAGGAAGTTCTTTTGGATATTTTCCCTCCTGCTCACCTCCCTCCCCCCAACATTGGGTGTTCCAAGCTCCTCACAAAGACCTTAAAGCTCCCTCAGCACAGACAGTCCCCAGTGGCGAGCCTGCCCCTGTCCCAGGGCAGACTGTAACCTCTGTGGATGTGTGGTCTTGCTTCAGAGGACACGGTTTTCATGCCTGACGAGGACGAGCGCAAAGAGTACATCCTCAACGACACAGGCTGCCATTACGTGGGGGCTGCCAGAAGTATCAAATACAAACCCTGGAACTTTGGTCAGGTAATGATTTGCCGTCCTGTGGCTGGACCAGGCCCCATCTGTTAGACCACCCTTTTGGTTGGGTAGTAGCCAGTAAAGGTTCTGGAGAAAGGGTTGTGAACCTCAGGTCAAACGCCAGCCTCATACGGGTGAAACTTGGCCAGAGAGGGGTGACCTGCTTAGGCTGCACAGATGGGGTGGAGTCCTGGGCAGAAACCCTCCCACGAGGACCACCCATGGCCTTTCTCACCCACCCCAAGGCTCTCTCCTACCCCCCACGGCTCTCTCCCACCCCCCACGGCTCTCTCCCACACACCACTCCCGCCACATGGCTCTCTCCCACCCCCCATGGCTCTCTCCCAACCCCCACAGCTCTCTCCCACCCCCCATGGCTCTCTCCCACCCCCCACGGCTCTCTCCCACCCCGCCACGGCTCTCTCCCACACACCACCCCCGCCACATAGCTCTCTCCCACCCCCCATGGCTCTCTCCCAACCCCCACGGCTCTCTCCCACCCCCCCACGGCTCTCTCCCACCCCCCACCACGGCTCTCTCCCACACACCACCCCCGCCACACGGCTCTCTCCCACCCCTCATGGCTCTCTCCCATGCCACACGGCTCTCTCCCACCCCCCATGGCTCTCTCCCATGCCACAAGGCTCTCTCCCACCCCCCATGGCTCTCTCCCATGCCACAAGGCTCTCTCCCACCCCCCATGGCTCTCTCCCATCCCCTGCCTCCCAGTGTATTTACCGAAGAACCAAGCACTGTTACAAGGAAGCCCTGTTACAATTAGAATGTTGGTGTTGACAAAGAGCTTTTAAACGCGAGGGAGAGTTTTTCAGAGACTTGTGTGGAGGCCTCTGCTGAGTGGAGGGCCAATGCCTTCGTGCAGCCATGAGGCAGGAGAAGCTGGGGTGTGAGGACGTCAGACACCAGATGCTTCCCACCTCCCCTCACCTCAGATTTGGCAACAACAAGCTCCTGGGAAATGCCAGGCATTTCACAGCTGCCTGAATTTCTCCTCTTCCCCGGGGTCTGGACACCTAGGACAGGGCGGAAGCAGGGACAAGGGAGGAGGGACTCTGAGCTGGCGAGGCTCATGCTGTGTGCTCTGTGCAAGGTGCGCCCTGCGTGCCCTCTCCACCCTCACTCATTCCTAGAAGGCCCTCAGCATCCTATCCTTACACATGAGGACCAGAGGGAAATGAAATGGGAGGGAGTAGCTGGCAAGGAAACAGTCAAATGAACCACAGGAGGGATAGGGAAGAAGGAATCACCTGAATCCTAGGGGGTTTCCCCTCTTAGAAAATCAAGGGGTGGGCGGGGCGTGGTGGCTTACACCTACAATCCCTGCACGTTGGGAGGCCGAAGCAGGCAGATCACGAGGTCCGGAGATAGAGACCATCCTGGTTAACACGGTGAAACCCCGTCTCTGCTAAAAATACAAAAAATTAGCCTGGCGTCGTGGCATGTACCTGTAATCCCAGCTACTTGAGAGGCTGAGGCAGGAGAATCACTTGAACCCAGGAGATGGAGGTTGCAGAGAGCCGAGATCACACCATTGCACTCCAGCTTGGGTGACAGAGTGAGACTCCATCTCAAACAAGCAAACAAAAAAGAAAAATAGAAAATCAAGGGGTGATTTTAAGAAGCCCAAAGAGTGACTGGGTATGGAGGCTCGCATCTGTAATCTCAGCACTTTGGGAGGCCAAGGTGGGAGGCTGGCTTGAGGCCAGGAGTTCTAGGCCAGCATGGGCAACATAGGGATACCTGGTCTCTACAAAAAATAAACAAATTAGCTGGGCATGGTGCTGCATGTCTGTAGTCCCAGGCAGAGCTGCGGGGAGGGGGACTGCAGTTGGAGAGGGAGGTGGGTGGATCACTTGAGTCCAGAAGGCTAAGTCTTCAGTGAGCGGTGATTGTGCCACTGTCCTGTAGCGTGGGCAACAGAGCAAGACCCTCTCTCAAAAAAATAAAAAATTAAATAAAAATAGAAAGAACCTCAAAGAATTGTAACCACAAAACTCCCCCAGACTCCTTCTGGAACATAAACATTATGGTCTATTCCTTTTATTTTGGTAGTTTTCCCCCTCAGGTTACAAAAGTAACATATGTACTTCAACTCTGTAAATATACAGATATTTACAGATAATCACAGCTATTGAATCATCCAGTTTAGATAGCAGATTTTATGGGATATAAATGATATCTTGATAAAGTGGCTTACAGTAAATAGAATTTCAAAAGTAATGTGCTTATCACAAAAGACTTAGGAAATACAGAAATGTGGAAAGAAAATAAAATTATTCATAACTTCCTCCCTCAGTGATAACGACTTAACGTTTTAGTGTATTTTATTCTTTTATCTATTACTAAGGCTTACATAGTTGTAATGCTATTTGTGCACAACTTCGTAGCCTGTTTCATTATTTATTTATTTTTATTATTATTTTTTTTTTGAGACAGAGTTTTGCTCTTGTTGCCCAGGCTGGAGTGCAATGGCGCTATCTTGGCTCACCGCAACTTCCGCCTCATGGGTTCAAGCAATTCTCCTGCCTCAGCTTCCCGAGTAACTGGGATTACAGGCACGCACCCCCATGCCCGGCTAATTTTGTATTTTTAGTAGAGACAGAGTTTCTCCATGTTGGTCAGGCTGGTCTTGAGCTCCCGACCTCAGGTGATCCACCTGCATCAGCCTCCCAAAGTGTTGGGATTACAGGCGTGAGCCACCATGCCCAGCCTGTTTCGTTTATTTAACTTGATTACAAAGGAATTTCCCCATGGTATTAAAAACTTGTACTTCCTTTTAGTGGCTGCATGCTATAGCTCTGTAAACTTACTTAACTATTGCCCTGTGGCAGGACATTTAAATGGTTTCTAGTTTTCAATGCTGTGGTGGACTTTTTTATGAGACTGTAGGCAGGGGAGATGGGTTACGCTACAGGGTGGCTGTGACATGCAAATTAGGTGGTATGTGTTAAGTTTCTGACGCAGGGCAAAGTCTTAACTGCCTCTTTCTTCATTTCCCGAAATAGTTTGAGAAAAATGTCCTGGACTGCTGCATTTCCCTGCTGACTGAGAGCTCCCTCAAGCCCACAGATAGGAGGGATCCTGTGCTGGTGTGCAGGGCCATGTCTGCTATGGTAGGTGTGGAAAGCCTGGGCTGATGCTGTCCTGTACTTGCCGATTGCTCAGCCGTTTTCTGTTTTTCCCGGGCTAGACTGGAAGCTCTTTGAAGTACACCACAGTGCTATGGCCAGTCAACTGTTCAAAACTATTAAGAAATAGACATTGCTGAAATCTGTTCTGAGTGCAGGTTTTCAAGTCAGATCTGAGTCTGAACCCCAGCCCTGCCACTTATGGGCCGATCTTAGGTGTAAATGGCTTCACCTGTCTGAGCCTCAGTTTCCCCATCTGCAAAATGATAATACAGAAGGTTCTCTTTCTACCTGCAAGCTGGGCTCCAGTTGGGTGAGCAAACTGGTCCAGTTCACTTGGGACTTTTCTGGCTTTAGCACTGAGAATACTGTGTTCCAGGAAACCTCTCAGCCTTGGGCGAGCAGGATGGTTGGTCACTCTATTCCGCCTGGCCTCTTGGAAGTCAGTTTGTTCAGAGTAGCAGTTCTCAAATATTTTGGTCTCAAGACCCCTTTGCACATTTAAAAATTATTGAGGACCCCAAATAAGTTGTGTTTATATGGTTTATATTTACCAATATTTACTGTATTAGAAATTAAAACTGAAAAGTTTAAAACTATTTATTCTAAAAGAATAATTCCATTACAAGTTAACATTAATAATGTATTTTTACTTTTAAAAACCTATGTTTTTCAAAGCATAAAATATGTAGTGAGAAGAGTGGCATTGTTTTCCATTTTTGCAAATCTCTTTAATGTCTGGCTTGCTAGGAGTCAGCTGGGATTTCGTATCTGCTTCTGCGTTCGTTGTTTCAGTTGGAATATATGAACATCTGGCCTCACACAGATATGTAGATTTAAAAAGGCAGAGGCCAGCTGGGCGTGGTGGCTTATGCCTGTAATCCCAGCACTTTGGGAGGCCAAGGCAGGCAGATCATGAGGTCAGGAGATCAAGACTATCCTGGCTAACACGATGAAACCCCTTCTCTACTAAAAATACAAAAAGTTAGCCCAGTGTGGTGGCACACACCTGTAGTCCCAGCTACTGGGGAGGCTGAGGCAGGAGACTCACTTAAACCCGGGAGGCAGAGGTTGCAGTGAGCCAAGACCATGCCACTGTATTCCAGCCTGGGTGACAGAGCAAGACTCCATCTCAAAAAAAAAAAAAAAAAAAAAAAAAGCGGGGCCGGGGCAGGAATATTCCTGAAGCTCCATAAGTGGCAGTTTCTTAAAGTTTGTTGCAATGTGGAATCTGAAACCACAATTTTTCATCCTTTGTACACTTAGGAGAGAATGAGAGTGAAGAAGGCAAATATTACCTTGGGATTATTATGCAAATAGTTTTGATCACAGACCTTGGAACTCCCAGGGATCTCCCAATACCAATGAGGACCTCTCTCCAAAGGTCCACTGAGTTCAGTCAAATGGCTGCTCTTGCCATCTGTGGGAGGCAGGCAGATATATGTTCATCTCCAGGAGAGTCTGTGAGCTGAACTGCTGTGACAGACGGATCTTAAGTAGGGGCCCTTGAAATGCCCTCCTTGCAGAATGACTGTGAGCCTGTGCCTGTTGCACGTGGTTTGCCTCATAAATGCTGGGGCTCCTGTTCCCCTGCACCCTAGGGGCTGGTAGGATTACCGGGGGCCCTCACACTGACCCTCTTGGGCACAGGAGTCCACCATGCCTGCTCTTCCCCCCTCACCCCCATGCTGGTATGTTCATTCTCTAGCCCAGGGGCCAGCAGGTGGCCAGGCTGGACACTGAGAGAGAACAAGTAAAGGAGACCAAGTCATTAGCAGGCAGAACTTGCCATGAGGGGCTCTAGTTCTCAGTGGTGCAGGTGGACTTGCACATACCTGGCTGCTTCTCCTTTCAAGCTCTGTGACTCTGGACAAGATTCTAAACCTCTCTGGGCTTCTGTTATCACATCTTTTGGGTGATTATGGGGTCTCAATAACACACAACAGTGCCCAGCCCAAGGTCTGACACGCTTTGGGCCCATGAGTAGCCTATTCCCAGGTCATTCTTACGAGTGTTGGGGTTTGGGAAGCAATGGGCTAAGCCACTGCTTGTTTCAATGATGAGGAAACCAGCCAGGGGAGAAGGGGCAGTTGGCCAAAGACTGCACAGTGAAGTGGTGGTTGAGCCAGTTCTGCTGACTCCTGGTGCAGTGCTCCTTCCTAATGCCCTCCCAGCCACCTCCTCAGGCTGGGAGGCAAGCATGGGCAATTCAGAACTCCAAGGTATTCCAGGAGTCACTTCCAAAATTAGGTTACTGCAGATTAGCTTCCATGCTCAGGAGTCTGAGAACCCCAGCCCGCTTCAGAGACCCTCCCCATTCCAGGTTCCCTATAAAGGTTGCCCCTTAACTCCTAGAAGTTCGTGGCTATCCATGGGCCTCCCGGATCTGTGAATTTCTGACTAGCAGGCAGAGCTTCTGGCAGGGCCGCCTAAAAGACGACTCCCACACCAGGCAGGGAACCTCGGCAGGGCAGTGAGTGCATTCATTATCCATTGCTAAGTAACAAGTTACCCCAAGACACTGTGGCTGAAACAACAAACATCCATTATCTCCCATGTCTGTGGGTCAGGAATTCAGATGTGGTTTAGCTGAATGTTCTGGCTCAAGATCTCTGGGGGAGGACCTACTTCCAGGCTCACTCACCTGGCTGTGAGCAGCCTCAGCTCAGGGCAGCTCACAGCACGGCAGCCAGCTTCCATCAGAGTGAGCAAGTAAGAGGGGGGCGCCCAAGCTGGAAGACACAGCCTTTGTCACCTCATTTCAGAAGTGACAGCCATCACTTTTGCTGCATTCTGTTGGTCAGAAGTGAGTCGCTGGGTCTAGGAAAGGGGATTACTGGGGGCCATCTCGGTGACTGCCTACCACACCTGGGCATAGGAATGTGCTTTGTTCCGCAGGGGGTAGAGCTTCATGCATCAGGAGTTTTGAAAGTACTGATGTCCTTTGGGCTCAGCGTCACTCCCCTTCTTTCCCTATCTCCTCCCTCCCTTACATTGCTCTATAGACGGCTTGGGTCTAGCAGGCGCTGACAGGCTGGGGCCACTCAATTTCGCAGGAGGACGCAGAAGCTGGACCAGATCAGTGGCTGGGTGACAGTTAAGATAGGAGGTGTGTTTCCTGCTTTGCCTAGGACCCTTGCCTGTCTCTCTTTCATCTGTTTTCATTCCGTCTGACCACTCTGGAGTCTGGGGGTGGCCTCTGCTCTCTCTCTGATTTTGATGAATGAAGAGGCTTGTCCAGCCACAGGACCTGAGAGGTCATGAGAGGCCCAGGCCACACCGTTGTTTGAGACTTCTTGTAAATTTTTTTTTTTTTTTTCTTTTTTTTGAGACGGAGTCTCGCTCTGTCGCCCAGGATGGAGTGCAGTGGCCGGATCTCAGCTCACTGCAAGCTCCGCCTCCCGGGTTCACGCCATTCTCCCGCCTCAGCCTCCCGAGTAGCTGGGACTACAGGCGCCCGCCACCTCGCCCGGCTAGTTTTTTTTTTTTTTTGTAATTTTTAGTAGAGACGGGGTTTCACCGTTTTAGCCAGGATGGTCTCGATCTCCTGACCTCGTGATCCACCCGTCTCGGCCTCCCAAAGTGCTGGGATTACAGGCTTGAGCCACCGCGCCCGGCCAGAAACTTCTTGTAAATTAAAACTGAACAAACCCCCAAACAGGATTCAGAAATTGTGGCATACTATAAGGGTTTTAGTTTAACAAATGGACATCTTTAACATGCTGGGAAACATGAGGCGCTGTAATTGTGCTTTTCACAAGGCATAACGGGGTTTGCAAAGGATGTTAGTGTGCAGGCCAGGAGGGGATGGGTGGATGTGGTCAAAGTCAGGCCACCACCAGATCAAAGATTTGTGACTGTGTCACTTTTCATGTTTTCGGAGGGCTCCTCTGCACCTGCCTCTACAACCTTCTTTAGAGATTCCGTTAAGTGCTTTCAAAGGTGAACTCACAAGCTTTGTCCTCTCTCAGGTTTTAATAAGGTGGAAAGGATCGTCCAGCCAGGGCTCCTCAGGGGTTAAGAGAGGTGCAGGCCACTGACAATTTAAAAATGGAAGATGCCAAAACAGGCACAGACTTAACTCAGGTCATCCTCAAAACAACCTAAAGGGACTGGGCATAGTGACTCACGCCTGTAATCCCAGCACTTTGGGAGGCTGAGACAGTTGGATTGCTTGAGCTCAGGAGTTTGAGACCAACCTGGCCAAAATGGTGAAACCCCGTCTCTACGAAAAACTACAAAAATTAGCCAAGTGTGGTGGCGTGCGCCTGTAGTCCCAGTTACCTGGGTGGCTGAGGCAGGAGGATCACCTGAGCCCAGGAAGTTGAGGCTGCAGTGAGCCGAGCTCACACCACTGTACTCCAGCCTGGGCTACAGAGCAAGATCCTCTCTCAAAACACAAACAAAACCAACCTAAATGTAGGTGTCGTAATGATCATCATTTTACAAGGGAGGAAACTGAGGCACAGAGCAGTGAGCATCCTCCCTGGTCACTCACACAACTGACATGCTCCTTGGCCCTTCTTGGCACCCTGCCTGTTCTGGATAGCCCGTGTCCTCCAAGTGCTCTGAGACATTGTGAGGTGTCCACTTTGGGGGCTGGGTGGCCAAGCTGGGCTGGCAGCACCGTGTTCTTCTGAGGAGTGGACACTGACCCCACCCCTATGTGTGTGGCAGATACACTTTGAGAAAGGCCAAGGCGTGCTCGTTGGGAACTGGACTGGGGACTACCAAGATGGCACAGCCCCATACAAGTGGACAGGCAGCGCCCCAATCCTGCAGCAGTACTACAGCACGAAGCAGGCTGTGCGTTTTGGCCAGTGCTGGGTATTCGCTGGGATCCTGACTACAGGTAAGTGGGAGATGCAGGGGCTGAGAGGAGAGGTACCATGGGAGGGACTCCCAGCCCCCACAGTTGCCAACCACCGCACCTTGGATCATTTCAGTGCTGAGAGCGCTGGGCATCCCAGCACGCAGCGTGACAGCCTTTGATTCAGCTCATGACACTGAAAAGAACCTCACGGTGGACACCTATGTGAATGAGAATGGCGAGAAAATCACCAATATGAGCCGCGACTCTGTCTGGTAGGTTCCTCCTTCTCAACCTGCCCTGTCTCCTCCCAGGAACTTCCTTTTTTTCTTTTTAGAAACAGGGTCTCTTGCTAGGTTGCCCCTTCTGGTCTTGAACTGGTGTCAAGCAGTCCTCCTGCCTTAGCCTCCCAGGTAGCTGTGATTCCAAGTGCAAGCCACCATGCCTGGCATCCCAGGAGTTTTCTAGCCCAAGCCCAGTCTCCAGGACCTCCCAGCCCAGAGATTCTGCTGAGCTGTGGGACCCCTTCAACCTCCCTCAGAGATTGATTCAAGTTGTAGGCCAATGCTCACTGCTCCTGAAATTCAGTATTTTTCAACATTTGGCCTTGGACAATCTGTGCTGGAATCACCTGGGGGTGATTGTTTTAAAATGCAGATTCCTGGCCGGGCACGGTGGCGCATGCCTGTAATCCCAGCACTTTGGGAGGCCGAAGTGGGTGGATCACGAGGTCAGGAGATCGAGACCATCCTGGCCAATATGGTGAAACCCCATCTGTACTAAAAATACAAAAATTATCTGGGCCTGGTGGCGCGTGCCTGTAATCCCAACTACTTGGTAGGCTAAGGCAGGAGAATCACTTGAACCTGGGAGGTAGAAGTTGCAGTGAGCCGAGATCGCGCCATTGCACTCCAGCCTGGTGACAGAGCTAGACTCCCTCCCAACAACAACAACAACAAATGCAGATTCCTGTACTGGAGCTTTTGCCTCTATAGGGGAAGGGCCAGGAATCTGAAGTTCATGTTAGCACTTGGCCCAGGAGATCTGATATATACCACTGTTTGAGAACTTTTGACGTAACCGGTACCCACTGGCCAGCATGAAGCTTATGTCCTTTGTTCTCTGATCCAGAGCACATGGGCCCCTTGCAAGCTAAAAGTGACCACAAGATAGAAAAGGGAGAATGAGAAGTTGCAGAGGGAGTAGACGGGGTGGGAAGGTCAGGGCATGATTACAAATTCCCGAGGCATTTCAGTTGAAGTTGGAGCCTTACAGATTTTATTTAAATACTGCTGAGACGTTCTAGTTCATGTACGAAGACAAGAAAAAACAGGAAGACTTGGAACTTTTGGAAAGGAGGCACTAACCAGTATTATTTGTAGATGATATACAGTTGACCCTTGAACAGCATGGGTTTGAACTGTGCAGGTTCACTCATAGGCAGATTTTTTTCAACTGAGTACAGGTGTATTTGTGGGACGTGAAACCTGCCTATACTGAGATCTGACTTTTCCTATATACACGTTCCACAGGGCCAACTGCAGGACTTGAGTGTGTATGGATTTGGGTATACTCAGGGGTCCTGGAACCAATCCCCTGTGGATAGTGAGAAACGACTGTTAATTTTCTAGCTAGAAAACCAAGAGCACCAACTTAAAAATAGCAAGATTTAATATGAGAATTCAGAGACTGGCCAGTTACAAAGTTGCTGATCCACCAAATCAGAATCCCAGCAAATTGAATACATTCATTGAATGAATGAAATAACAGTTGTAATCTTTTACTAGGCTGTGACTGCACAGCCTAGTGCATTTCACCCATTCGTTCAGGAAAAGTTTATTAGGTATCTGTTATGTTTCAAACACTGCAGATGTTAAGACAGATAAGATTTAGTTCTGCCTTGAGTTCACCACCTCTAATGGTGAAGACTCCCAGGTTCTTTGAGATCCATAGGCACGGTGAGGGTCTCATGAGGTTCCTCCAGCCCTGCCCACTGCACACAGCTCTGTGCCCTGGGAGGCTTTCTGAGAGGCAGGTGGGACTCAGCGGTGGCCTCTTCCTTGCCAGTGTTGACAAAGGCTCCCAAACCCCTGAGAACAACTTCAGTGGTTCCCTGGTGATGAAGATGTCTCTGGCAATTTTGGCGTGTTTATCTCTAACTAGGTTTGTGGGTGGTCTGGGGTGGGGCCCGTTCCCAATTTGTGGCAGGAATTTCCACGTGTGGACGGATGCCTGGATGAAGCGACCGGATCTGCCCAAGGGCTATGACGGCTGGCAGGCTGTGGATGCAACGCCGCAGGAGCGCAGCCAGGGTGAGTGGGTGGCAGGAAGGCGCTGGGCATCTGTGATGCTCTCCTTACATGGCCCCGGGTTCTGTGGGTCTTGGGTACGCAGCCAAGCAGGTGGGGAAAGTTTTAATACAAATTTCCCAACACAAAAAGCATGCTCAGTCCTTCCTGCTATTCCCACTGAGCAGGGGCTTCAGTTTGCTGGCTATTTTTATGAAGTAATGCCAATGACAATACTGTTAAGAGCAATGAGATGGTAGCATTTAAGGGTTCCCTACTGCGTGCCATGCTCAGTACCAACATGATCCATTTTACTCACAACTAACCTTTCAAAGTAGGTTGTTACTATCCTCATTTTACAAATGAAGAAACTGAGGCTCAGGGAGGTGAAGTGAGTTGCCTGAGGTCACACAGATCCACGAGGCTGGACCCGGATTCAGCCCAAGTCAGACATAATGGGGATGCTTATCTCAATTGGTTATGGGTTACCAACTCCTGGGTAAGACAGTGGCCCCTTATAGCTGGAAGGACCTTGCCAGGGGAGGGAGGGTGTCTTTGTACAGCTGGGGAAACAGGCACGGGTTTGGTCTGAGGTCACTTGGAAAATCTGTGGAATCAAGTTATCTTTATTTTAAATTGTGAGTCCTAGTACTAAAGACAAAGTCAGCCCAGTAAAGGGAAAATAGATTAGCTCAATAGTTCTCAAATTTTTTAAAATTATTCATTTATTTATTTGGAGACAGAATCTCACTCTGTTGCCCAGGCTGGAGTGCAGTGGTGCAATCTCGGTTCACTGCAACCTCTGCCTCCCAGATTTAAGCAATTTTCTTGTCTCAGTTTCCTGAGTAGCTGGGATTACAGGTGCACGCCACCATGCCTGGCTAATTTTTTAATTTTTAGTAGAGGCAGGCTTTACCATATTGGTCAGGCTGGTCTCGATCTCCTGACCTCAGGTGATCCACCTGCCTTGGCCTCCCAAAGTGTTGGGATTACAGGTGTGAGCCACCGTGCCTGGCCTTTACTTATTTATTTTTATTTAGAGATGGAGTTTCACTCTTGTTGCCCAGGCTGGAGTGCAATGGTGCAATCTTGGCTCACTGCAACCTCTGCCTCCTGGGTTCAAGTGATCCTCCTGCCGCAGCCTCCTGAGTAGCTGGGATTACAGGTACCTGCCGCCATGCCTGACTAATTTTTTGTATTTTTAGTAGAGATGGGGTTTCACCATGTTGGCCAGGCTTGTCTCAACCTCCTGACTTCAGGTGATCTGCCTGCTTCAGCCTCCCAAAGTGCTGGGATTACAGGTGTGAACCACCTCAGCCAGCCTCAAACTTTTTTTTTTTTTTTTTTTTTGGAAAAAAGCAGTCCGACTGCTCAGAAGGAAACTTTGTGTGCCACCTCGTAATGTAAAGTAGAACTGCTCCAGCTGAAGTGTGGTCAGGGACCAGCCAGCCCCTCCCTGACACCTCTGCCTCACTCCTGCAGCCCCTGAAGTAGATGTCTCTCAAGGTTCTTCTAGGAATAAGTCATAGTTTGGCTGTGAACCTCATCCCAAGGATAGCAAATTCATCTGCCCACAGAGCCACAGAGTGAACAGGGCTGTCTACTTGGGAAGATGGGGACCTAGAGACATGAGCATGCAGATCCCCAAAGGCATTCAGGTTAAAATTTAAACATACTTTGCAGGCCTCACACCCCTCAGTGTGGGACTCCTGATTCCTCCAGCTGCAGTGTGAGCCCCCATGGCCCTGAGGCAAAAAGTGCTGTTAAAAGTGAAAACAGCCTCTATGTTTCTCCAAAGAAAAGGCATTGCCCTTATAATAGGGGGTGAGGGTGGTGGGAGGTGGCCCCCAGAGGTGGGAGGAGCAGGTGATATGCCCATATCCCCCTATACTCTGCAGGAAGATTCTCAGCAGGGCAATGTTGAGGGCTCTTTCCGTCCAGGGAGTCTAAGTAGCATTTGCTGAGGTGGGACAGTAGCCATGGCAACCAGGCAGTGAGTACCCCAGTGCCACTATCTGCCTGAGAGGCAGAGGAAGCCCTGTTCCCTGGCCAGAAAAGAGGCCTTAAAAGCCCACCTAACCTGCTCACTTTATAGATAAGGCCAGAGAGGGAGGGTGGGGATGCCCAAGGTTAGTCAACAACTTAGGAGAAGAACCAGTATTAGATTAGGAGACCAGTTATCCTGAGTCCTAGTCCTCCAATACACTGACTTCACAGGTTTGGCTGCCTTAAAGAGGCAAGGGGGAGGAGCCTGTGTGTTGAGGATTAAATAAAATAACAGAAGCAGAAACCCAATGCCCAGAATATAAGGGTGTGTAAAAACCAAAGCTACTACTGAGGAACTATCAACCAAGAGACTAATTCTCACTAAGTTGTCAATGACTAATAAGGGGAACTCTCTATCCCCATGCTAGAAATAAAAAGACAGCTCTTAAAAATAAATAAATAAATAAAAAGACAGCTCTTAGAATGGAAATTTTCTTATTAGCCCAGATCCATAAGCAACAGCTTGCATTTGTTTTAGGCACAGGGCTAAGTACTTTGCCTGGATTATTTAATTTAATCTTTGCAATAGCCTTAGGAAGTAAGCGCAGTTTTTATTCTTAGTTTTCTAGGAAATGGAGCCACAGAGAGCTGAAATGACTTGCACAAGATCACATAGCTCCAAGGCGTGATGCCAGGAATCAGACCCAGATTGTGTATCTCTGTGCTCTACTGGGGACTGATGTGCTGGGATGAGTTTAATAGGCAGTGTGACTTCCTATTACTGGGACGGAGGATTTCTGATACTCTTCAAGTCAAAGCTGAGATATGCCCCTCTTTTCAGAATAGTTAGGACAGCCTAGGAAATGAGCACCCAGATGCTTCTTGGGCAAAGTTTGCTTGCCAGTCCTGTTTGAGTTTGGGAATCATTGCTGCCACTGGGTCCAGGTTGGGTGGGCTGGGGAATCTTACTGAGAGTGACCACCTCTGGCTTCCCCTCAGGTGTCTTCTGCTGTGGGCCATCGCCACTGACCGCCATCCGCAAAGGTGACATCTTTATTGTCTATGACACCAGATTCGTCTTCTCAGAAGTGAATGGTGACAGGCTCATCTGGTTGGTGAAGATGGTGAATGGGCAGGAGGAGTTACACATAATTTCAATGGAGACCACAAGCATCGGGAAAAACATCAGCACCAAGGCAGTGGGCCAAGACAGGCGGAGAGATATCACCTACGAGTACAAGTATCCAGAAGGTGGCCAGCATCACAGGGCTCCTTCTAACTCAGCCCCTGAGTCACTCAGACCATGAAAATACTCAAGATTGGGGGTGGGCCTGGGCAACATGGTGAAACCCTGTCCCTACCAAAAAAAAAAAAAAAAAAAATTAGCCGGGTATGGTGGCATGTGCCTTTGGTCCCAGCTACTCAGGAGGCTAAGGTGGGAGGACTGCTTGAGCCAGGGAGGTTGAGGTTGCAGTGAGCTGTGACCATGCCACTGCACTCCAGCCTGGGTGACAGAACAAGACCCTGTCTCAAACAAACAAACAACAAAAAAACACAAATCCTAATTGAGGCCTTTGCATTGTTTGACCAGCTCATTCACCTTGCTAAGACTGTCCGTGCTCTCCAGTGCCCAGGAGATTAGACATCTTCTCAGCCTGGCTTTCTGGCCCCTGCAGAGCTGGCCTCTGGCTCCCTTCCTGAGCTCAAGTTCATCCCCTAGCCTTGCTGCCTGCTGTTCCCTGAAAAGGCTGGCTACTTTCACCCCTGGCCAAACCTCTGCTTATGCTTTCCCCACCTGAACTGTCTCCTTTGCAATCTCTACTATCCACAGGCCAATACGCTGCCTCTGTTCTTGATGTGCCTCAATCTTACAGATTTGTATTTCCCCTGTGGCCCATTGGCTGTGGTTCCTGTACCACGTGGTAAGGAAAGGAAGATAACTCTATACAGCATCCTCAAAGGGTGCAAGAGTCCAGACAGGGGCAAACTGAAGATGGGATGTGATTAAGAGGAAGGCAGGAAATCATAAGGACTCATAGATGAGGGAGTAATTTGCTGTGCTATGGGATGGCAGATGGTACCCATGCAACTGGGGCTTTTCCCACCCTCCATTGCAGTACAGTTACAAGCAGGTCAGTTTGGACCCCTGGGTTGATTGTGAGCTTGCATAAAACCTTGCACAAGGTAGGCCTGCAATAAATATTTCTTCCATATAAATGGGGCAAGTGATGGCTACCAAGGCAGCTCAGGACAAACTGGAGATCTCCACTTTGATGTCTCTTTGTGTTCAGAGTGGATGTGGATGGAGAGCTTTGTAACCAAGCTCAGAAATTCCTGTCTTACAGCTGCTATATCTGAGATAAAATCTTATCCTCAGGGTTGTGTTGAAAATGAGCAAACTTGATTAAAAGCAATTAGGTCAGGAGTTTTTTTTTTTTTTTTTTTTTTTTTTTTTTTTTTTTTTTGGCAGGGTGACAGAAGTTCAGAGAGGGAGGGATATGATAGAGAGGGAGACCAGTGGTATCTGTCAACTGCTACACTTGATGGTGTCCCTCAGGTCTCTGAGGCTCTATTCTCTTTTCCTCATTGTTTTTCCTTTCTGTCTCTCAGACTAGATAATCTTATGACCTGTCTTCAAGTTTGCTGATTTTCCTGCAAGCTCTAATCTGCTATTATTGTACTTTTCAACTCCAGAATTTATATTTGGTTCTTTTTAAAAAATAATTTTAATCTCTCTCGATATTCTGTATTTGGCAAGCCATTTGTTCTCACGCCTTTTTTTAGTTCTTTGAATATATTTAAAATAACTAATTTAAAGTCTTTGTCTAGTAGGTTCAATGTCAGGGCTTCCTTAGGGACAGTTTTTATTGACTGTTTCCATGTTCCTCCCCTCCAACCCCCGCACCGCCATATATGGCCTATACTTTGTATGTTTTGTAATTTTTGGTTAAAAATTGGACATTTTAAAAAACATAATATGGCAACTCTAGAAATCAGATCCTGTCCCCCGTCCCAGGGTTGCTTTTGTTGTTGCTATTTGTTTAATGACTTCTGTGATGTAATTCCAGAAAGTCTGTAATCTTTCTTGTCCATGACCACTGAATTCTCTGCTCAGTTTGCTGAATGGTCAGCTAATGATTGGATGGATATTGCTTTAAATTCCTTGAATCATTAAGACTCCTAGCCTTTGGCAAGGGGCTCTGTGTACAAGTTGGGGTACATTTCATTGCTCTGGCAGGCAATTTATAATTCTGCCTTCACTTCTTGCTTGGGCAGAGCCTCAAGGTCAGCTAGAGGTGAGAGCTTAGAGCCTTATCAGATCTTTCTCAGACGGTCTAGATTTCCAGGATTCTGTCTGAGCTTTCCAAAGCCCCTATGGACATTTTGTTCCTCAGCTTTTCCTTTTAAGATTTTTGGTCGGCTTCTTTTCCCCTCAACTCCCTTCTTTTCCTTGTTGCCTTAGGAAACTGCAATTGTAAACAATTGCTGTAGGTTGGTTGTTTGTCTTAACAAATGCTCCAGGGAAAAGGCTGTTGGTAACGAGGGAGCTCTGAGTCAGGTCAATGAAGACAAACTCTGTGAATGAGGGTTTCCAGGAAATCGCCCTTAGGTGAATTAACAACAATTCTCTGGTAGTGGAGCTTTTAGGGAACTCCAAAACCATTCTGTCCCCTCCGGAGGTGGCTAGGCTGCTGGTTTTCACTGTGATTTGGTGCTGTTGGTTTTTGAGTCTACTGTGGAGCTGGAGAGAAGGGGAGATGGGAATCAGAATGCCACAAAACTATTCTTACTGAGATTGTGCTGTTTTACTTGAATAAATGCTCCTTAGATTATTATAAGCCTTTAGTTAATGTCAAGAGTTCTGAAAAAATTGATTTGATAATTTTTGCCAATGTTCTCATTGCTTTTATGGAAAAGCAGATTTTTGGAGGACTTTTTTCTGCCATTCCCACTGATGTCAAAATGTGCTATTGCTTAGGAATGGGGATTTGAATGCTTCTCTCTGTGAATCTATAGCTCAGGAATGTCTCTGGAGTCCTGGCCATGCAGATGGGCTCCTTCTGCCACAGGGGTGGTTGGGACATTTGGCCCTTGAAGGAGCACCCAAAGGAAGCTGTCTTTGTGTCTCTTTCAGGCTCCCCTGAGGAGAGGCAGGTCATGGATCATGCCTTCCTCCTTCTCAGTTCTGAGAGGGAGCACAGACGACCTGTAAAAGAGAACTTTCTTCACATGTCGGTACAGTCAGATGATGCGCTGCTGGGAAACCCTGTTAATTTCACCGTGATTCTCAAAAGGAAGACTGCTGCCCTACAGAATGTCAACATCTCGGGCTCCTTTGAACTACAGTTGTACACCGGCAAGAAGGTGGCAAAACTGTGTGACCTCAATAAGACCTCGCAGATCCAAGGTCAAGGTACCAGAACCAGGGGGAGGAGAGGCCTCAAGTGAGCTCAGGGTCCCCACAATCTGAAATCCCTCTTCTCCTCTGTGGACAACTTCCATACGTTAACAAATTTTTGTGTGTGAGTTAACACAAACAAACATTTATTGAAAACCTACCCCTTGGTAGTCACAAGAAAGCCAGGCACAGAGGAAAAGTGGGCCAATAGACCACTGGACTAGGAGCCGGGGTCTATCGTAGAGCTATAAATTAGGGGTGCTGAAAGTGTCATGAGAAGTCTTCTGTGGTGGCAGAAATTTTAATCTCAGATGCCCAATCAAATCAATGATCATGAGTGCCCAGGGCACAGTGTTGGGAACAAGTGGGATGTCCTGATGACAATGGGTAATGTCTGTCATGCACTCAGGATGGAAGCTTGGAGAAATTGGCCAATTATTATTCCATCTTGAGCCCAACGTCTTGTTTTCTAAAGAGAGTATGGGACATGTCCCAGGTTATCCAGTTCAATTCATACAAAGTTAATCTAATTCTGTGCTTGATGAGGAAAACTCATGGGGCCTATGATGAATGACCTCTCCCCTCCACCCTGACTCTTTGGCAGTATCAGAAGTGACTCTGACCTTGGACTCCAAGACCTACATCAACAGCCTGGCTATATTAGATGATGAGCCAGTTATCAGAGGTTTCATCATTGCGGAAATTGTGGAGTCTAAAGAAATCATGGCCTCTGAAGTATTTGTGTCTTTCCAGTACCCTGAGTTCTCTGTAGAGGTGAGATTCCTGCAGGCCATAAAGGGCTCCTCCTGCCTGGAAGTTGGCCATGGAGTGTGACAGGGTCCTTAAGAACCCTGAGGGTCCTTGGTTGGCTCATGCATATCTTCTCTCCCCATCTCTCCTCCCCACCCTACTACAGTTGCCTAACACAGGCAGAGTTGGCCAGCTACTTGTCTGCAATTGTATCTTCAGGAATACTCTGGCCATCCCTTTGACTGACGTTAAGTTCTCTTTGGAAAGCCTGGGCATCTCCTCACTACAGACCTCTGAACATGGGTGAGTCTGCCTGAGGTATTCTTACAAACAGAAATATACTTCTGGACATATATCTTGCACATGTGTGCATATTCTTGAGATGTGAATTCCCAGTATGGGGTCATAGGGTCAAAATGTAGATACATTTTGCTAGTGCCAAATTACTTTCAGAAAAGATTGCATCAATTTATGCTCTATCAACAGATCTTTTTGATTCTTGCCAATCTAGTGGTTAAGTAATCTCATTGCTTTACTTTGCATCTCTGATTATTTGTGAGGCTATTTCTTACATTAATTGACTCTCTCCTGTGAATTGCCTGTTCCTAACTTTTGTCCATTTTTCTACTGAGTCGTTTATTTTTACATATTAGTATGGAGTCTTTACACAGTAAAGAGTGTTATGTGCTGTGAATTGTTTATAGCAGTTTGTATTTAAATTTTTAAATTTAATTTTTAATTTATTTATTTTGAGACAGAGTCTCACTTTGTCACCCAGGCTGGAGTGCAGTTACAGGATCTCAGCTCACTGCAACCTCCATCTGTCCCCAAGTTCAAGTGATTCTCTTGCCTTGGCCTCCTGAGTAGCTGGGATTACAGGCATGCACCACCACACCTGGCTAATTTTTGTATTTTTAGTAGAGATGGGGTTTTCCCATATTGGCCAGCCTGGTCTTGAACTCCTGACCTCAGGTGATCTGCCCACCTTGGCCTCCCAAAGTGCTGGGATTACAGGCATGGGCCATCATGCCTGGCCAAACAGTTTGTATTTTTTTAAACACTAAGATGTCTTTCACCATTAGAACTTTTAAATTTTAATGTAGTCAAATTTTTCAATCTTTTCCCTTACGGATACTGAATTTCTTTTTTTTTTTTTTTTTTTTTTTTTTGAGATGGAGTCTCGCTCTGTCGCCCAGGCTGGAGTGCAGTGGCTGGATCTCAGCTCACTGCAAGCTCCGCCTCCCGGGTTTACGCCATTCTCCTGCCTCAGCCTCCCTAGTAGCTGGGACTACAGGTGCCCGCCACCTCGCCCGGCTAGTTTTTTTTTGTATTTTTTAGTAGAGACGGGGTTTCACCGTGTTAGCCAGGATGGTCTTGATCTCCTGACCTCGTGATCTGCCCGTCTCGGCCTCCCAAAGTGCTGGGATTACAGGCTTGAGCCACCGCGCCCGGCCTGGATACTGAATTTCATGTCATCCTAGGTGCTTAGAAATTTTCTCTTATGCTTTCTCTAGAATTTCCAGCTTTATTTACACAATTAGGTATTTATCTGGAATTTTTTTTGGGTGTGGTGTGATGTGGAGCTCCAACTTTGTGTATGGTTTTCCTAGTACTTTGTAGCACTGCCTTTATTAGGCTGTAAATTCCCATATATATCTGGGTCTCTGGACTCTTTAATTTGCTATTTCATTTGTCTTCTTCTACTATAACATCATACCACTAAAATTATTATAGTCCTAAAATAATTTTATATGATTATCATATCTACGTATTGATATGCATTAGGCAAATCCCCACCCCCCACATTTTTGTCTATAGAACTTTTAGAATCATCTTGTCATATAGTTTAAAAACAGTTGGGATTTAAGTTGATACTGCATTGAATTTACCTATTTATTTGGGGGAGAATTGTGCCAAATGACAATATTGTGTCTTACCATCTAGGAATATGAGATTTTCCCATTTTTTTCAAGTCTTTTTTATCACCTTTAGAAAAGCAATATTGTTTTCTTTATATACCATATGCACGTTCTTAGTTGGGTTAATTCCAAGATGCATCAGTATTATAGCTTTTATGAATGGAATATTTTTCATTATATTTTCTAATCGTTTGCTGGACTACATGGAAATTGATTTTTGGCATGCTGATATATCCAGCAAAAACCTTTACTGAACTCTAATATTTTGTTTCTAAGAGGTTTCTGATGGTCTCTTTCTTACAGGATGTCTGAATCTTCCAAGTAAAAACCAGTAGGCTCCTATTTTCGTTAGATCAGGATTTATCACATTTTAACATGCACACAAATTACCTGGGGAGTATTGTTACCGTGTAGATTCTGATTCAGCAGGTTTAGGGTGGAGCCTCAGATTCTGTGTTTCCTACAAGCTCCCGGGTGATGCTAGTATTGCTGAGCCCCAGAACACACTTTGAGTAGTGAGGGGCTAGACAATTCCTTTCATGTGGATTCAACATAAGATACATGTTCCTCTTAGATTTCATGTAATAGATAACTGTTGCTAACACCCGTGAAACAAGAACATCTGTAGTAAAGTCAGTCAAGACTCCAGGGAAGGCTTGTGAAATGTCAGATTTGGAAGAGCTTCTGGAAACCAGCTGGTTCAACCATCTTGCTTTACATCTGAGAAAACTGATAGCAGCACCCAGGGTGTAGGTCCTGCTATAGAACTTTTAGAATCATCTTGTCATATAGTTTAAAAACAGTTGGGATTTAAATTGATACTGCATTGAATTTACTTATTTATTTGGGGGAGAATTGTGCCAAATGACAATATTGTGTCTTACCATCTAGGAATGTGCCATGCCCTGGAATGGCCAGGGCTTTTCAAAGAGGCTGAGCTAAGGCTCGGCTTTCTGGCTTCTCACCCAACTCATCTTCTTCCTCTTCCCGTAACATCCTTGGCTGATTGTATGTCCGTATGTCTTTGAATTTTCCAGGACGGTGCAGCCTGGTGAGACCATCCAATCCCAAATAAAATGCATCCCAATAAAAACTGGACCGAAGAAATTTATCATCAAGTTAAGTTCCAAACAAGTGAAAGAGATTAACGCTCAGAAGATTGTTCTCATCACCAAGTAGCCTTGTCTGATGCTGTGGAGCCTTAGTTGAGATTTCAGCATTTCCTACTTTGTGCTTAGCTTTCAGATTATGGATGATTAAATTTGATGACTTTTATGAGGGCAGATTCAAGAGCAGGAGGTCAGAAAGGCCAACACAACCATAAGCAGCCAGACCCACAAGGCCAGGTCCTGTGCTATCACACAGCTATAAACACCAGCCTAGGCCACAGAATCCCATCCCTTTCCTGAGTCATGGCCTCAAAAATCAGGGCCACCATTGTCTCAATTCAAATCCATAGACTTCAAAGCCACAGATTCTCTCCCTGGAGCAGCAGGCTATGGGCATGGGAGTGGTTAGAGAATCCCCAGTAGCCACCCGCTGGCACCCCGTGAGAAGCTGCCATATTTTCAGGCCATGGGTTTGCAGGCCCTGAAAGCACCTGTCAACTGGAGTGCTCTCTCAGCACTGGGGTGGGCCTGCTAGAAGTGCATTCTCCTTCTATTGCCTCCATTGTCCTCTCTCTATCCCTGAAATCCAGGAAGTCCCTCTCCTGGTGCTCCAAGCAGTTTGAAGCCCAATCTGCAAGGACATTTCTCAAGGGCCATGTGGTTTTGCAGACACCTCTGTCCTCAGGCCTGAACTCACTATAGAAACCCATGTCAGCAAACAGTGACCAGCAAATCCTCTTCCCTTATTCGAACTGCTGCCCCTCAGGAGACTCCAGGGGACAGGCATTGCTTCCTCCCTGGTGTGAACTCTTTGGTATTCCATCCGCCATCCTGGCAACTCAAGGCTGCTTCTGTTAACTGAAGCCTGCTCCTTCTTGTTCTGCCCTCCAGAGATTTGCTCAAATGATCAATATGCTTTAAATTAAACTCTGCTTCAAGAAAACTCTGTGGTCCCTGAGTCCTTTTTCCTTTATGCCAATAAGCTTCTTAAAGTATCCTGTGCTGGGGGTTTATTTTATGTGGTCACTGGGGAGCCGTGGAATCCTTTGGCGTCCCCAGGCAAAGGTGCTCCGAGGAGTTGGCTTTTTTTTTTTTTTTTTTTTGAGGCGGAGTCTCGCTCTGTCGCCCAGGCTGGAGTGCAGTGGCCGGATCTCAGCTCACTGCAAGCTCCACCTCCCGGGTTCACGCCATTCTCCTGCCTCAGCCTCCCGAGTAGCTGGGACTACAGGTGCCCGCCACCTCGCCCGGCTAGTTTTTTGTATTTTTTTTTTAGTAGAGACGGGGTTTCACCGTTTTAGCCAGGATGGTCTTGATCTCCTGACCTCGTGATCCGCCCGCCTCGGCCTCCCAAAGTGCTGGGATTACAGGCGTGAGCCACCACGCCCGGCCGGAGTTGGCTTCTTTATTGTCTGTTCAGTACATCCAACCCCTCTCTCAAAGGTTGTCACCCCAACTGGATACACACCCTGGCAGAGGCACATGCGTAGCTTGAATGAGGGTTATTTTGTGTCTAATTCACAGGACAGTCATGGGTGGGATACCTGTCATCCTCTGCCTTTCCAGCTGCCCAAGTGAAAAAAACCTCAATCCTGGTCACCCTTGCCCCAGTTGCCCACCTCCCTGGCATACAGTAGGTGTTCAATAAATGTTTATTGAAGGAAAGGTAATTGTTCCTTCTGCTGGAAATACCACAAGGGTGGTGACACAAACAGAAGGGTTTGGTCAGTCACTCCACAGCACAGTGTCCGATCCCAAGAGGTGATAAAGCCTGGCATGGCCACTGTGTGGTGCCGTATGACACTGGTCTCCCACACTGGGAATGGAAGAAAAGTAGCTTTCCTAGAGGTGCCTTTAGGGTGACCCATGAGGCAGGACACTGCCCAAGGGTTTGGGCTGGGATCTCTTAATTAAAACAGGAGACTCTAGTCACTGAGGGTGAGCAAAGAGCTTTTTATTCAAAGAAAGAGGCAAATTGCACCCACTCTCTCTCCCTGTAAGATCTCATCGGGTTTTGACTTTGCTTTCAGTTTGAGGCTAAGCAGAATGTTATGCTGTGAACGGTCACCACAGACAGACCAGTGTCGCTGGTATAGGGAGGCGAGGCTCAGGGTTGGACAGGTTAATTACCTACATAACCCTGGCTGTGGCCCAGCCCAGCACCTTCCAGGACAGGGACTGACATGGCTGAGGTCTACCTTGGAGATGGGGTCAGTGATGAGGGGAGGCAGGGTCTGCCTCTGTGCAGGTAAAATGCCCCCTCACCCCAGCCTTCCTTTCCAGAGCAACCAATCTGAAAACACTTTGGCTTTGGGGCTGCTGTGTACCTCTGCTTTCAGGCCAAGCTGGATCCCTAGAAGAGGAGTTTGAAGCCCAATGTGCAAGGACATTTCTCAAGGGCCATGTGGTTTTGCAGACACCCCTGTCCTCAGGCCTGAACTCACCATAAACACCCATGTCAGCAGTGACCAGCAAATCCTCTTTGCTTATTCGAACTGCTGCCCCTTAGGAGACTCCAGCGGGCAGGCATTGCTTCCTCCTTGGTGTGAACTTTTTGGTATTCCATCCACCACCCTGGCAGCCCAGAGATGCTTCTGAGTTAGGACAACAAATAGGGGGACCCTATAGTCAGAGCAGCTCTTACCCAAAGTGGTGAGCGTCGACTTCCTGTCCAGATTGCAAGTTAACGGCCTTTACAGCTGACTCAGGCTCCTATGTTGTTATTAATAAATATTAAAGCTGATAAGGACCAAGAAAGTGGGCCTGCAGCCTGACTGTGGGAGGCCCAATGTCTTTCTGGTTGCTCTGTTAATGTTAGAATCCCCCATCACCCCTCTTGTGGGTCATACTTGGAGAGCTCTGAGCAAGGATTAGGGCAGAGGTGACTTTGTGAACATTGGGCCTTTTGAGCAATTAATCCCAGGCCCTTGTGGGTCATCAGTTGTAGAGAGACGGTCTCTGGCAGGATCGTCACCCTTCACAGTGTCCAAGGATGCTGTCCAAGAACCAGGATGCTGCTTGGCTCTTTTCTTTCTCATAGTCGCCAGTTTCCTTTCTCAGTGTCCTGAGACTGCACCTCCAAACACTGACCTTCTTCTCCTCTGAACTAGAGCCACAGGCCACTTGGGGCCAGGACTCATGCCCTTTTGCCTGGAGCTGGAAGGGGGACCCTGACACTGAGGTCTTGCAGGGGCATGCTCTGCTGAGTGCCTATGCCCCTGCCAATCCTGACGCCAGTAGATGCTGGGGAAATGGCCCAAAGAGAGGAACAAAGGCCCGTGGAGGGAGTGGGTGGTGAATCCACTTCTTATACCAAACGGGGATAAGAACTCTTCTGTTGGGCTTTGTGCAGAAGATGCTGCAGCAACCACTGGAATGGGGTTTAGGAGCACCAGAATGCTGCTCAGACCTTCAGAAGTGGTCACAGACACCCTAGGCTTCAAATGGGGTGAATAGAGGGCAGACTCATCCTGGTAGGGTGTGTGTGTCTGTCTTCCTGATTCATCTGATTTGTCAGTCAGCAGGCCCTGGCCATCACCCATCTTTTCAGAGACAAGATGGGCACCAATTTGGGAGAACTGGCCTCAAACACACAGGCAGGGTTTATGGTTAGTTCTACCTACGTGTGTTATTAGACTTCCTCCAAGAGGTAACATTCAACTAAGTTCTCATGGGAGTGGTTAGAGAGTCCCCAGTAGCTCTAAAGACGTCCTTCCCGGTACCCACACCTGTGAATGGCTAGATACGTAGCCATAGGCAGGACAGCTCCCAGCTGTCTCGCTCAGTGAAGACTCTGGTGTCTGTGGAATGGGGGCTCATTTTCGGCTCTACTGTTATAACCCTGGCTCTGTCCGTGCTGGCCATGTCCTGCACATGTCTATTTAGAGCTAAATGCAGGGTCCTCTTTGAACCATGCCTGGCCCTTGCAGGTAGATGTGGCAGCCACCTCTACCTCCTAATTTCAGCAGGCAGCAGGGGGAAGCCCTTTCCAGGGAGTGGCTGGCAGCTCTGCAGTCTTTTCAGGCTAGTCTCCCCTGATGTCAGTGTCCCAACCCAGGTCACCAAGGCCAGCCCTGCCCAGTCCTTCTGTCACAATCTTAATTCTCAAAGCCAGGAGCCAAGGCCCCAGCCTTCCCAAGAGAAGACAGAAATCCCAGGGAAAGCCAAAGGCAAGCTCTTTTCTGCCCCTGGGCTGCCCTGTTCAAAAGCTCCCTTTGCTGGGCTGAGAATGTAAAAGCCGCCCAGTCTTGGAGAACGGTTCTTGACGAGCCCTCTCAGTGCAGACTCTTCTTAGATGAACTCTGAGAAAGCCCCCATCCTCCTCTGATGTCCCCAGACTACTCCCGACCCCCAGACCTGGCCCAACATGGAGAGATGAAGGAGGGGTTACAGGGAATGGCAAGGCCAAGCGAGTGGCTCAGGGAAGTGCTGGGGGTGCTGGGAGCGCAACATGCCCATGAGCCCCGTTATCCAAAACCCCAGGACGAAGGTTGACAGCACTTTTTAGTGTTTGCTTCTCTCCCCACAGCAGCATCTATTCATCTGTCACCTCCACAGAGTCCTCGTCCTTTGTCTCCTCTGATGGATCCTCCATTGTTTCGGTGTCTGACAGCGATGTCACCTGCCGCACCATGTCTTTGTCACTGGGGATCTCTGGCTGACACGGTCTGGAGAAGGGGTTGAACCAGTTCAGGGAGAAGTCCCCACCAAAGGTCTCCTTTACTGACTGCCAGCTCCCCGTGCGCTCCCTGGGCTGGTTCTTTCGTTTGAGGCGCTCGATGCCCTGGAGGGAGAAGGGGATGAAGAGCATCAGCGTCAGCGTGTTGCTGGGCTGTGCAGCTCATGTACACACCCCCAGCTACGGCCCAGCAGTGGCGGGGTCCAGGGCGTGGGTAAGATGGGGTCTGAGAGGGCAGCCTGTTGTGGCCCAGCTCAGCCCCGAGAGGTGCCTCGGAGGACTTCTGGGGCGTGGGTAGACAGCAGCGTGGAGGAACACAGCAAGCAGGGTCTGCCTGGCGGACTGACGTGTTCTCCACCCACCACCCAGCCCTCCCCTTCTTTCCTTCCACAAATGCAATGCCAGATGATGGGCAGGGGCCAGGCTGATGAGTGGCTGAGGCATAAGGGGGACCAGGCATCCTCTGAGGCCGCTACAAACTGGTGACCCCCTCCTAAATATTTTTGGCCACTCCCACCAGGGTAGATAGGGGCTGCAAATACAGCAGAAGGATGATGGGGTTAAGGAGAGAGGGCAGGACACAAATAGCATGCGAGGTGAAGAAGTGGGTGCTCATACAGCTAGTGCCAACATGCAGTAGGCAGCCGGAGGGCACCCAGGACCACTGTGGGGAGGTAAGGTTGTGCTCAGGCCTGCTCATGCAGCAGATGCACCCTGCAGCCTCTTCCAAGCTGTCAACTCACCTGCCTCAGCTGCAACTCAGCCACCAGGCCACAGAAAGGGTGTTGGGGTGGGGAGATGCCCAGAGGAGGTAAAGACATGGCCAGGCCAGCTCTCCAGGCCCACAACACCCTGCACAGAGGCTTTTGACCCTCCAGTGGGGGCACTGCTTTCTCCATCTCTTCTGGAAGCCAAGGGAATTTGCTGTGGGTTTGCCGGGCTTGGGCACTGCTCATTCACATGACTCAAGAAAGATCTCTGTGTATCTAGTTCTAGGTTTTCTCTTCCACACAAGATCGTTACACAACTGGCACAATCCTTTGTTATGCAGAGAGAGAAACTGAGGCAAACACACAGTCTGGGATCTGATGGTACCCTAGGCCAATTCTTCTCCAGCACTTTTTCTTCCCACACCATCTCAGAGATTTATGATTCTTGACTTTTGAATAAATTCTAAGTTAAAAAAATCGGATCTCAAAAGTATATCCTCATAAGATACTATCAATTACAAAGGGAAAAACAGTACCTTAATAGTAGGGAAGAAACAA